ATATATATTTATATTATATATATTATATATATATATAAGCATATAAATATAAATATATGCATGCTTTATGATTCTGACAACGTAGCACATTAGTATTAATTGATTAAGTAGTTATTATTTCTGGCAAATTACTTTAAAGAAAAATGTGTTGTTCAAGTAGTATCATCGGAATTACTATCGGTTCGATGATTTATTGCTGCACCATGAATCATGACTCATGAGTCAATGAGTCATGGAGTCATGAGTCGTATGATTATATAGATGCAGGTGTCAAGTTGCGCATCGAGTCTGGATATACGATGGATCGATGGATCTTTACTCTATCTAACTACTAATCGGGCACAGCGGCGTGCAGGGGGGCGGCGAGCCTGAGGAGTTTGCCGCCCTTGTCGAAGATAGGCTTTCCGAGCAGTGTCCACAGGTCAAGGTCGTGGGCAAACGGTCTTGACTGGTCCTTTGGCAGCAAGGACGGGCACTAGCCCTAGTAGCGACATGGTATATGTATATAAGGCATACGGCATGCATGTGTATGCATGCCATGAGTTATGAGTCATGAGTCAGGGGTCATGAGTTACTATAAGTATAAGTATAGGTGTAAGAGGTTAGTGTCGTAGTCGTAGTTCTTATGTGTTATTGCCTGCCAATTCAGTACTGGATGTGAGTAAGTGTATATAAGTATATAAGTGTGCAATTTAGTAGCAGTATCGTGTGTAAATAATTTATAGTCTACAGTGTTCGCATAACCCCAGCAAAAGGACGCATGCAGTCATGTACGGACGTATATGTATCGAATCGACAGGGCACGGTCGGCGGTGCTTTATTGGTAGGCTGCGCCGTTGCCTGGCTCGACGTGCCGGGTTCCTCCTCGGCCACGCAGGATGGGAGGAGGGATTGGTTACGTAATGTAGTAATGTGTGGGTGATTATATGTCGACTTCTGTGACGGCTATGTCGTCATATCAGTAGATCTGGTGATAGTGTTCGATAGCATGGTCAGTATAGCGTATATCATATCATATCAGTAAATCAACTGTATATCTGTATATTCATAATTTCTGCTTTGTGATTTATGACACATGATCCCGTCCTGGGGGGCTTGTCTGGTGTCGTGGCGACGTCGAACATCGTCCCAGGGAAATCGCGCTTGCTCCTGGTCATAGTGGTTGGTAATCGTAGAACCAAGACTCTCCACACAGACACACCTGGACCCCCCACACAGACACACCTGCATTAGCATGCAGAGACAAGTCGCGGGTGAGGCTGCCGTACTTGGCTGGTGCATAGTCGCTCGGCTGGCTGTGTTGGTCTCAACCTCAGTGGCAGTGGGCACACAATCTGTTAAAGTTATAGTTAAAGTTATAGTCTAAGTTATAAGTTATAAGTTATAAGTAGTTGTAAGATCCTATAGCCCATAACTGGCCCATAACTTATCCTAGGTTACGGTTAGGCCTTAGGCCATAACTCATAACTGCCCATGGTCCATAACCTAGCCGGTATCTGTGAACCTAAGCACACTCGACTATGTTCCGACCAAAAAGCTGATGCATTCGCCCGTTCGGCAGCCAGCCTCTCTGCCTCCACCTCGGCCTCGACTTCGTCCAACACCAAACGCTTCCTGTGAAGCGGGGGCCGTGCGGCATTCTGTCCCACACCGCCTGTGGCGTCCTGCTCACGCGCAGAGCCAACATCATACAGGCTCATATGACTGAAATCAATCGACTCGTTATATGTCAAGCAAGATGGCTGAGTCCAGCATCGTGCCTTATGTTATAAATGTATATTGTATTATATAAGTATATTGTATTATATTGTATTATATTATATTATATTATACTATATTAACTATATTATAAATTATATATCAGATTATATTGTATTATTATTATCATATTATAGTATATAGTATATAGTAATACTGTAATACTTACTTGTTGTTCAACTAGCTGTATAATTCCTGTATGATTATGTATACATTTATAAATCATTAGAACTTATAGATGTACAACTATTAATGTAGAAATTTATAAGTTATTTATTAATATATATATATATAATTATAAAATATAAATTATAAATATATTTATATAAATAGTTTTATAATTTTATAATACAATAACATATCATTGCATCATATCATCATATCATATCAATCATATCGTTATCTAAAATTAGATTATTTAATTTATGATTTATGATTTCTGATTTATGACTCATGATGACTGACTCCTTACGATTTGCTTACGACTTACGACTTACGACGCACTTACGCATTAATGACTCGTGACTCATGCCCCGTGACTCATGATCAGTCCTCCTGCGGCGGCGACATCGGTGCAAAGGGATCCTCTCTGCCATACGGCAAAGCCATGCGCCCGCTCATGCTGTAAGCCGTCTGCCGGCCCCGTCCAGCATCCGCCGCCGCCTCGGGTGCAGCCACCGTCGGGGCCTGCAAGGGTCGTGCGCCTGCTAAGGCGTACTCACGCCCCAGTGCCGCTGCTACCGCCATGAACTCGTCTGGTGGGCGCTCTGTGCGAAGGTCTTCAACCGTAAAGGCCGGGGCCTCCACCCAGGCACCAGGTGCCTTCACTGCTTCTGCTGCGGCTTTCTTCGCGAACTTCGGTGGTGTCACCAGCACCCCCACCACTCTCCTCGCCGGTACCGTTACATTCGAGTGTGGCGGCGGCTCCTTTTCGATCCTCGGCGGCACCAGTCCAGGCTGTTGTGGCTCTGCTGGTGGTACTTGTACTTCCGCTGCTGGTGGCTCCTTTGGCTGTACCGGTGCCGCCTCCGCCGGTGGTGGTGGTGGCTCCCTCGGCGGTACCGGTACTGCCCGAAACGGTGCAGGCTCCTTTGCCACTTCCGCCGGCACTGCCCCCGGCGCTGCCGGTACTGCCGGCTCCTTTGCTGGTACCTGCTTCCTTCGTGGTGGCGGGACGACCTTTGGGATGTGGCGAGCTGGGACGATCGTTGGCGCCTGTGGAGGCGGTGGCGGCGTCCGCTTCTGCACAGCGGGCGGCGGCGGGTTCGGCGTCCACTCCATGGCTGCGCTACTGGATGGTCTGCAAAGTTCCGTGGGTTCGTTCCGGGGATATCACACGGTCGTACGGAGTCGTACGTTACATCGGTGTTGCTGCCCCTGGGTGCAAAACATGGAAGTTCTACACGTGGGGAGGTCCCTCAGGTCTTAGGGACCTTGTCCTCCCTGCCAGAAGTGAGCACACGCAGGGTCGCCTTCTCTTGAACCAGCCGCACTGCATATCGACGTCTCACATGACATGACCCCCGACTCACTTTAGCTATATCACGACACATGACGGTTCATTCCTGATTATTATGACTCATGACTCATGACTTATGGCCCTATGGCTATGGCTGTCACTGACGCCCAGGAAGGACACACCGGGATATACCGATAGCCCATATCGTCGTATCGTGGTTTCGTGGACATGCTGATATACCGTGATATCAGCGGTATACCATGTCGATGAGTCTACGCATCTATGGCTATAGGCTATAGGCTATAACTAGGCTATAACTATAGTTATATGATATGATGATATGATATGTTTTATGAGTCTATGACTCTATGAGTCTATGAGTGGTGTAATCAGTACAGTATATATGATATGAATTGATATGAATCGGTACGATATGATATATGCAGTTATACACAGTATACAGTATATGAACAATTATTATATGACTTATATGACAGTAGACTATGACTGTGACTCAGGCTGTGACCATGACTTGGTGTATGACGATGCCGACGCTGGCGATGTAGGAATGTTTCCTGGGCCATGAACCTCTGTTTCCTGACTCGTGACTCACGATAACAGGA